ATATATATATATATATATATATATATTTATATATTTCATACATTGAGCATTCTTAACATTTTCATAATTTTATTAAAATACCTCCTTGAATAAGCCTTACCACCTATGGATGTCCGCGTCCATATATATATATATATATATATATATATATATATTAGTGTAATTTATTTTTTTTATTTTGTATCACAGTTTACACTTAGTAATTTCAAGTTTTATCATATGTTTTGTAGACGTTCTCGACCACATATAATTGGCAACTTTATCATAATTGGAGTTTATCAATCATGCTTATGTTTCAGTGTATATATATATATATATATATATATATATTGAAACTATTTGTTTAAAAAGGAAATTTTGGATTTTTTCTTAATCAATTTTCTTAATTTCCTTTTCTTAATTTTTCTTTTATTTTTCTTAATCAGTTTTTACAACCACCGAGAAATTATTTCGTGTAATTTAAAGAATCAAAATTAAATAAATAATAATGCTGCGTCTAAAAGTATTTAAACAAATATTTTGAATGAAAAAAAAATATATATATATATATATATAATTTGTGTATTTAAGCAGCATTCCTTCTTTTATTCATATTTCATTGAAGACGACAGACAAGGTGCTTTTATTTAGTTTTTTTTATACAATTTCTCATGCAATCTATTTTTCTTTTCTGATTAAACATTATATAAAAAACTGTTCGAATCTTCTTTTTATCCGAGCGCCTTCGGCTATACATTTAGCTATTTTCAAGGATTAAATATTTTAAATTTTAAATAAGAAATAGTTTGTTGCATGTATGTTTTATAAAATGTTTACATTTTTCAAAACACGGTCAAGATATTGTGTCCATGTTCATAATTAATATTATTAAGTGTTGTTTTCTTTTTTTTTATTAATAATTCCATTATGTTTTGCCTTTTTTTTTGCATGTAGATGATGCTATTATATTAGTGTTGGCAACAACTATGTTACGAATAGTGTCCGGTAAGTCTCCATGAATATTTAAGTGAGATCTGTTAGAGCTATGGTCAGAAAGGTTTAGTGTGAGTCTGCGTGTCAAACAAGTTGTGGCGTGGTCTACATAATTATTTACAAATTTTCATTTATCAGGAATACAATTCATTAATGGGCATTTAATTGGTAAATATTTAATTTTGTTTTAACAGGTGAATTATTATTTTTAACTATAAGCTTTTAAATTTTTGTGATATATAACTTATCTACTTTTTTGATATTGTCAATATTTATATATATATATATATATATATATAACTTTTTTTTGTTATGTGTTTTTCTTACAACCATGAAATATTAGCAGACGTTTTAAGCCTTTGTACCATTTTGCATGATTATTTGAAACAACGTTAAGTTAAAGTATTTTGACAGGAACCGACTGCAGATTATAAAACTGAAACAAAATTATTGAGTGATATTATCGACCACATACAAAATTGGCGTACGAGATATCTTGAAACGATCTTTTTTTTTAATTTTCTCTCCCACAAATTTAGTAAATATCCATTTCCTATGAGCAGAAGGCTATGACTTAATCGGTCAAAAAATATAATTTTTGCTAATTGTTTATATTCAAAAGCTTCATATTCAGAGAAATCAGGTGATGAATGTGAATTTTCTCTTATTTCTGACAATCCTCGCATCTGATCCCTCGTGTATCTTTTTCCTTGCTTTGTATGAGAGCGAACTAAGATACGTCGTTATGTCAAAGGATTTTGAATATGGCTTTTTTTTCTAAAAAACTTGAATGATGTGTTATCGTTATATTAGCAGTAAAAATGATGTGCCGGGTTATTCACTAGCAAAGCGGTAAACTTCCTCTGAATAGACGGTCAAAACCGCCATACTCATTTTGTATACGCATGTAATTCTGAAGTCTAGTAGAACTGATGGCCGCCCATGTAAAAAACGTAATGTACACAAGTTGTCGGTATTCATCAGCAAAGCGGAAGAAAAATTGTAAGCCTCAAAAGGAAGCAATGGACGGCCATGTTAGCACCAGCCGTTTGCCATTACTAAGACACCTGCAATTAAAAGTTTTCAAGTTCAATACGAACACGGACCTTAGGTTTTTTGCTGGTAAAATTTGACATGTAGCTCTGTAAATCCCTTTTGAAATGGCCTTGATGTTTACTTTACTGTGAAAATGCAGAAAATATGGAAAGTAATGCATGCCTGCATTGAAACATTAAAAGATTTTTTAAAAAAAACCATAGTATGAGTGTTAAATCCTGAAATAAAAGTAGGTTACCTGAAACCTCTACCCCATTTGGGATGCTTGATGCGCGCAGGCGTGACCCCCCCCGTTCACACATGATCTCGCATGACCCCGCAGTGTGAATGGGCCAATCAGCAGCAAGCATTACGTATCGCGCGATCCACCCTTGACTAATAACACGAATCCGATTGGCTTTTGGAGCGCAAATTTCTTCTGCCACAGAAATCCTTCTTTGTGATAACTTTCGCATCTGAAAACAAAATATGGCCATTCTTGCCCTTTCTTATTCCCATATAAGCAATTAAATCCTACTTTTTTCTACTTATGCTACCGCTAATAATTCAAACATGAAAAGTGCCCATATCTACTTGTGTGCAGTGAACGCACATAATTGCACATGCGTGCGTCCGATCAAAAAAGAAAAATCGATAATATTGATTTAAATTTAAATATTGACTTAAATCAATTTTTAAGGCCGTCAAAACCTCCGCGGGATCATTAGCAGTAACTGTGTCAAATTTGGTTGAAATCGGTTTAAAAATGGAGGAGATCCGATCAAACATAAACTAACAGACACACACATTCTGCCTTTTATATAGATGATACAATATTTACATCTGGGGTATTATCCACCTGTTTTCTGTTATCAAAACCTTTCGGGCATTTTGTCGTTAGAAATTTAAGAGATACTTGTTGATCCGAGAATTTCGAACAAAATTCTTTAATTAACTCGGAGTGTGATTGTTCGTATTTCGCTGATCACGTCTCGGGATGTCTCGTCTAGTTTTCTTTTTTTTATTTATATATGACCCTTTGACCATTAGCCACATCACTTAGCTAATAATAAAACGAATTATGTTTGACTGAAAAATGGGGAACATATTTAATAGACTCTATTAGTCCAAAGGGTGTGTGACGAAGACAAATCATGACGAATAGATACGGTCAAATATATCACCCACGTATTTTCCTGCTACTCACCCTAACACATATTTCTAAAGAAAAGACGATTAATTCTCTCTATTTAAACTCACATAAAAAAAAAACAAGAGTTGTGCTCAATCAGAAGGGTTAAAGCTAAACACACACACACACACACACACACTGCAGAGGTAAAACTACTACCAAGAAGTAGCCATCTTTTATAATTAAATTCTTAGAGGCTTAAATGTAAACGACCAATTTTTACCTATCTGAGCTATAAACGTTCAATAGAGACCTATCCCCGATTCTCTTAAATGCTTGTAGTCCCAAATATAAATGACCAATATTGGCCTATCCCCGTAAACCAAGTACACACACACACACACACACACACACATACATACACACACACACATATATATATATATATATATATATATATATATATATATAGATGTTAATATACACGACCAATATTTACCTACACTCTAGCCAAATAAATGTGTAACGGCTCAAATGTCGCCGACCATTTTTCCTCTCTCCGAATCTAGTAAGTGAACATAGACTCAAATATAAACTAACAATATTTACCTATCCCCGAAATTTGTATCTGCTTATACACTCAAATATGAATATGACCAATATTTACTTACATCTTAAACTCTTAAATGCTTATTGACTCAAATAAATCGAAGTATATTTATCTACACCAAAACCAATCAATCAATACATAAGCTACCAATCTTCATCTCTGTTGAACCAATTAGAAATCATAAACTCAAATATAATGGCAATTGTAGTGGTAATAATAGACGTTTCTTTATAAGGAAACATTCAGCATTCATTGACCTAAAAGCCAGAGCTACTGCCGGTTGAGATATATAACATATTTCTGTTAAAACAAGAATCTCCTGTTTCTTATGTCCATTAGTTTTTATCGTTCCTTCATGTATTGATGGGGGCTTCCTCCCTCCCATTTTGGTTGGAATATCATGGAATGTTAATATCTTGGTTATGTTGTTATTTTCACTTCGAATTACGTATGTGCTGATAATTTTAGTTTCTGTTGTTTTTTTGTTTTTTTTTATTCTGTAGCGCCATTCCACGTAGTTTAAAGTGGAATGAACCCCTCTAAGTCTTACAGGATTAATTCGCAGAATATCAATTTACATCATTGATCTGATAAAGAGGTTGTGTACAGCTGAATGCTTAGAGATTTATGAACTTGCTGGGAGCATTCATGTCATTTTATGAAAGTTTAGATCTAATGAAGCTATTTCAGAACACGGCTTGCGATCTTTCGTTAATATTTCCGTTTTGTAACAACGTTTAGTAATGGGTGAAACTAACCCAAGCGGAGACTATTCTATGTTCAATTTCCTAGTCTTCTATACTGAATTTGCTATATCTGAACCATACTCTGAGTTATTTAAAATGATTCGTTTTTTGTCGTCAAGAACACATGGAACAGTGGATAAAGGCGTTCGTTAGATCAAGAGACAGGAACCAAAGAGTGTGAGTTCAATATTTGCTTAAGGGGAATTAACAGGAGATAACTGATAACTGCCACCCATTAAATATGACATGTGGAACTAGAACAGTCTACCCAAGTGAGCGAAATAAAGGGTTCAGTTCGACATTCCAACCACTTGAAGAAGGCCGGAGCGTACAACGGCCGAAAAGTTGTTATAAATATGGCTATAAATATGAGGACAATAGTCCGAATAATGTAAATAGTGTACATAATACGTCATCTCAGAAATATAGACAGATACTGATTCGTATTTATTAATTCCATATTCTAAATTCCAACTGAAAATGTGTCGGTGCTTTCATTGCATTCTATACCGGTTCCCGTACGATCACCGAAGTTAAGCAACTTCGAGCTTGGTCAGTACCGAGATGGGTTAACGTATGACAATACTAGGTGGTGTAAGTTGGGATGTGCGAGTGTTGGAAGTGTTAATTGGAGAGTCAGTTTCCAAATCCATTAGAGTTCGTTCTATTCATTTAAGTGCAAATCCCGTGGGGAAAGGTATGACTCCACCTCTTCTCTCCTGCGCTAAGAGTTACTCATCAAGAATTGTATCAATATACCATTCTTATCTAAAAAATAACAATTAATACAATCTAATAATATTTTCTGGCTTTAAATAAACTGCAATCGGTCAATATGCCTTAGAAAGCAAACCAATCAATCAATAAAGCTTTCTTTCATTCTTGATCACTGAAATTGTTATTTACCATCGGTGAGCCAGGTAAAAGTCTTATAAACTCAAATATAATAACCAAATGAGATAGAGGAGACTTGTTTTGCCATTAATAAGATAACAAGGCTGTCGTGAAAGCAGCAATGATGTCATGCAAATGTGGTTCTATTTCGTAATGTAATGCTGAAACTGCGTCCATGAAATATTAATATTTCAATGAGAAAAACCGTTTAATGAAGTCTTCATGCCAACTAAGGTCAAAAAGAGAAAGAATATCTCACATTAAAGATTATATTCATCTCTGTATTTACTCAAAATTGATATCGGACACAATGTGGCATAGGCCCCGGTTAACTTAAAGGAAACCTGGATTTTTGTCTGTAGTGTTTCATAGAGATTGCCGCTTCCGCCATAATGCCGCTTCCGCCATATTGCTATGCAACTCTTTTTCATATGTGCAGCCCAGATGCTGCAGCTGAGCCCAAAATGTCTTCGCCTGTCAAAATTGCCATTGAAATCGGTTAGATAAGTCATATCAGTTTATCCTTGCATCTGACTTGTTTGATGGTCTTATTTGATATTTAACACAATGTCTATTCTGACATGGACAGCAGCGATACACATTATACAAATGTAATTAACATTGAAGATTATTTTTAAAGACATAGGCCAAATTAATCTTTAACATTTAAATTACCGAATATATATATATATATATATATTGTGTAATAAACTTTGACATATCTATTATATAGCAGCGCTAAGCGTTGTTTCCAGTCACAGAAGATGCGAATTCAAATGGGTAAAGGTGGACTGCAGTGCAGACTGGATGATAATAAACGAAAAGATCTAACTAAACACAAGACGAGGTATCTCTAGAAATAAATATAGGCATGGGAACAGTGTAGCCTTGTACATTAAATAAGTTCGAAATTCTCTGAAGGGAGAGGAATCGACAGGCACTAGAAGGCCAGAAATCACAACGACCGTTATATTACTATCTAAACAACAAAGCTACAGATTCTTTTTATAAATTACTCTGGCTAGCCGTTGATGAAACACGCCTGGTATAATTGCACTGAAATGGTGTATAATAAAATGGCATTCACCGATATTGAAGAGTCCGTCATAATCCAGAAAATGCTTATTTTAAGCGAATATTGATATAAATTCTGTTATTGATTATTTCTACTGGGCATGCGCGTATCTGACAAGTTGAATAATCACAATCATTTCTCAAATAAAACATGTTCACTCGTGCGAATATGAAAACAGAATTTATTCTAATCTGACTAACTACAAAATCTGTTATCGTGCCAGCGCAGAGAAGCAAATGTAAAAAAATAGCTTCACATCACTGCCAAACTGATATTTCAACGCTGAGGCGACAGATAACGAAGGCTAATCCTTCTACTGTAAAGGATTAGTATTATCCGAACTGGTCCAGGTCGAAAAGGTCCGAGGGTATTAACTTCCCTGAAACGAAAAAAAATAAATAAATAATGACTTATTTATTTGACTTTTGGATTTTTTTTTTATATAGAATAAGTCAATGAAATAATTTTTCGTCAAATTTTAAATCACATCATAAAAAAGCAATACAAATCGCCTTTTATTGAATTTATTGATCCAGCATTTGATAGTCTGTAGATTGGTATAAAATGAGCTAATATCGGAGGAAGATATGAATAATGTGTAATTCGCCATTACACATCCATGAGAAACTGTTCGATATGCAGTTTTATTAGTTTCCCACGTTGAAGTTAGATCATGATTATCTACTGATTAAGTTAAACAATTTTTGTTTATTAATATGTTATTTATATTGTTGTTCTATATGCCGTGCCACATGTTATCCTTCGAAGCGCTTAGCGATTTGGTCTTTTTTACTATTCCTCAAACTCCCTGTTCTACCATCAATTGAAACAAGGGCTTTATGTATGTTACTCGCTAATACATTTTGCCGTCAATATGACCTGTGAAGATCAGATTCTCAAAGCTTTCATTCCTCATTATATTTCCCAGAAATTTCAACAGTCATTTCCTACTTATAAGTGTTGTGGGGCTCTCCACTTTTTACATAAGATGGACTCGTCCAAATTATACTTATACTGACAGAGAGGATACCTGCTGTTGAGATACATTGAGATACGTTGAGATACTCTGAGATACGTGGAGATACGTTGAGATAGGTTGAGAGATACGGAGACAGACGCAGGGTGTTCTCAGAGAGTTATACAAGAGTCCAGAGAGAGAGATAATTACGGCTTTACTTACAGAGACTTGTATATATACTTTTTACTAACCCGCATTCCTGGACTACTAATCTTCACTTAAAGTCTGTATTCTTTAATACACTTATTTTTCTATCTCAATTACTGGCGTTATGTATTTATTTGTGCAGGATTCCATTCACGGAATCAACAACAATAAGGTTTTTATTTACTTTTTCCTTGAATCTTCCTTATTGATCACATGTTCCGTCCATTTTTTAGCAACAATACTTCCGTAGAACGACATCTATTTTGCCTCAAGCCTACTCAGCATGCGAGAGGTTGGTTGGTTGATTTTGTTTAGGGACATATCAAACTCTATGGGTTACTTGAATATTTTGATCACGATTTTATGTCCACAACTACAGAAAAAGTGTATTGTTGGTTGTTTTGCTATAAAATATATTATTGGCCATTTGCAATAAAATGCATTGTTGGTAATTTTTTCATAGAAACATATATTACAGATATTTTTACTATAATTTTCTTTTAGACTTGCATAGTGTTTTTTCATTGTTTTGTTTGGAGGTTCATTATTGGCCCGTAGCTGGGAACCGGGGGCTACCGCCCGGTTATGGCCATACCTGGCAACAAAAAGAAATAAGAGATGCTTCCACGGTGAGGAAATTGTCCAGCATACACTGCTATGTACAAAGGTTAATATTACATAGCACCACAATGAAAGGTTTTTTTTTTTATCGAACTCTTAATTTTTCTTCATTACTTTATTTAGTCTTTTCTATTTCAGTTTTTATCGAACTCTAAATTTTCCTTCATTACTTTATTTAGGCTTTTCTATTTCAGTTTTTATCGTACTCTTAATTTTTCTTCATTACTTTATTTAGTCTTTTCTATTTCAGTTTTTATCGTACTCTTAATTTTTCTTCATTACTTTATTAGTCTTTTCTATTTCAGTTTTTATCGAACTCTTAATTTTTTTCATTACTTTATTTACTCGTTTCTATTTCAGTTTTTATCGAACTATTAATTTTTTTTCATTACTTTATTTAGTCTTTTCTGTTTCAGTTTTTGTCGAACTGTTAATTTTTCTTCATTACTTTATTTAGTCTTTTCTATTTCAGTTTTTATCGTACTCTTAATTTTTCTTCATTACTTTATTAGTCTTTTCTATTTCAGTTTTTATCGAACTATTAATTTTTTTTCATTACTTTATTTAGTCTTTTCTGTTTCAGTTTTTATCGAACTGTTAATTTTTCTTCGTTACTTTATTTAGTCGTTTCTATTTCAGTTTTTATCGAACTCTTAATTCTTCTTCATTACTTTATTTAGTCTTTTCTATTTCAGTTTTTATCGAACTCTTAATTTTCCTTCATTACTTTATTTAGTTTTTTCTATTTCAGTTTTTATTGAACTCTTAATTTTTTTCATTACTTTATTTAGTCTTTTCTATTTCAGTTTTTATGGAACTCTTAATTTTTTTTCATTACTTTATTTAGTCGTTTCTATTTCAGTTTTTATCGAACTATTAATTTTTTTTCATTACTTTATTTAGTCTTTTCTGTTTAAGTTTTTATCGAACTGTTAATTTTTCTTCATTACTTTATTTAGTCTTTTCTATTTCAGTTTTTATCGTACTCTTAATTTTTCTTCATTACTTTATTAGTCTTTTCTATTTCAGTTTTTATCGAACTCTTAATTTTTTTCATTATTTTTATTTAGTCTTTTCTGTTTCAGTTTTTATCGAACTGTTAATTTTTCTTCGTTACTTTATTTAGTCGTTTCTATTTCAGTTTTTATCGAACTCTTAATTCTTCTTCATTACTTTATTTAGTCTTTTCTATTTCAGTTTTTATCGAACTCTTAATTTTCCTTCATTACTTTATTTAGTTTTTTCTATTTCAGTTTTTATTGAACTCTTAATTTTTTTCATTACTTTATTTAGTTTTTTTCTATTTCAGTTTTTATGGAACTGTTAATTTTCTTCGTTACTTTATTTAGTCGTTTCTATTTCAGTTTTATCGAACTCTTAATTTTTCTTCATTACTTTATTTAGTCTTTTCTATTTCAGTTTTTTATCGAACTCTTAATTTTCCTTCATTACTTTATTTAGTTTTTTCTATTTCAGTTTTTATCGTACTCTTAATTTTTCTTCATTACTTTATTAGTCTTTTCTATTTCAGTTTTTATCGAACTCTTAATTTTTTTTCATTACTTTATTTAGTCGTTTCTATTTCAGTTTTTATCGAACTATTAATTTTTTTTCATTACTTTATTTAGTCTTTTCTGTTTAAGTTTTTATCGAACTGTTAATTTTCTTCATTACTTTATTTAGTCTTTTCTATTTCAGACTCTTAATTCTTCTTTTTTTTTTATCGAACTCTTAATTTTTCTTCATTACTTTATTTAGTCTTTTCTATTTCAGTTTTTTTATCGAACTATTAATTTTTTTTCATTACTTTTATTTAGTCTTTTCTATTTCAGTTTTATCGAAC